TTCATGTTTTTTAGGCATCACAAAAATGAAATATTCCAAATATCTAGTGAGAAAAAAAAACTACTTTTTCCTTTTATAGATAAATAATATCAGTAAAGCTGGAAATGAAATAATTATTAAGCGAGATTTAGTATTTTGTACCCCTGAGTTCCATATATTGTTTAGAAACAGATCCTCAACTTTATGATTAAACTTTGATGGTACACAAGGCAAATATCGAACACAGTATTTAATCAAATCTTGCCCAAGTACTTTCGATCACAAGATCATCCTCAGGGGCATTTCGTCAGTTGTGGCCTATCAGCAGTAACAGAATGTCATAAATGTCAATTGGGACATAACAAATACACTAAACAAAGACAAACAAACACTTTAAAATTTAAAAATTGGAGAAGCTACATTTTATATAGAAGCCGGAGACGACCTCGTATTCGAAACGACGAGTTTCGTATTCCTGGATAGTAACTTACATTTGATCATTCTGTTTAGTGCCCTACCTACTTCCTTTAGTGATTCTTTTGGCTATTTCATTATCTTCGGCTCTATTTGTAATCGTCCCTCCAAGGCATTCGAATTGATCCACTTTTTAAAAACAATATTCTTTACTTCCGCTACTTATTCTTAGGTTATCTTCGCGCTCTATTTTCTTTGCTCTCATTTCGGAGTATTTTGTTTTATTTTCATTTATAAATAGTCCTAACTTTTTCAATATTGTTTCCCTTTTGTTTGAATATTCTTATGAGGTCTGATTTTGATCTCGTAATCAATGCAATATCGTTTCTTCTTCTTTCTGTACCCTGTCAGATTATCGAACGTTGGCTATCATATTGGCAATAATAACTTTGTTTACGGCGGCTCTAAATAAATTAGCGGCGGTCTCTTGATACCATTCTCGGAGATTTCGGAACCAGGCTGTTCTTCGGCCTGGGCCTCTCCGTCCGGCGATCTTACCCTGTATTATGAGGTGTAGAAGGTTATACCTCTCTGGATGTCTATTAAATGACCGAAATATTGCATCGTTTTTGTTATTTCTGTGCTCTTTTTCATTCGATGTAAAACTATTTAATTTTTTATTCGATCAACCCAACTTATCCGCAATACTCGTCGATAAATCCACATCTCAAAGGCCTCTAATTTTTTTCATTAATGTCTCTGTCAGTGTGTAGCTCTCCATACCATACAGCAATGTGGAGAATATGTAGCAGCGTATTAATCTGATTTTAAGGTTTAACATAATATCTCTATTAATTAGAATTTTCTTTAATTTATAGAAGGCAGCTTTGGCTTTTTCAATGCGTATTCTTATTTCTTTATTTATATCCCAGTTATAGTTAACGTTTGCACCCAAGTAGGTAATATTGTGGACTCTTTCTAACTCCATTCCATATGCTCTGATGTTCGTTGGTTGTAACTCCGTTTTGCTGACAACCATAAGTTTTGTCTTAGAAGTATTAAATTTAAGCCCATATTGATCACATGCTTCGGTTACCCTGTTTATTTACCTTTGAAAATAAATTCGGAGTAGGTATTAAAAAGTAGAGGCGATATAATACATCCTTGCCTCACTCCACGTCGTATTTCCACTGCTTCCGCCGTGTTGTGTCCAGCTCGAATGTTTGCACATTAATGCCAATACAATTTTTTGATAATACGGAGGTCTCAGTCATCAATTCCCACCTGTTACAAAACACCTATAAGTTTGTCATGTTGACTCGGTCAAAGGCCTTTTCGAAGTCGATAAAACACATATATACTGATTGTTCTATATCTCTACATCTTTGAACCATGACCTGCAAACTGAAGAGTGTTTCTCTGGTTCCAAGGTTGTTTCTGAAACCAAATTGTGTTTCACTTAGTTGTACTTCTATTTTGTTGTAATTTGTCGAGTGCAGTATTCTTTTCAGAATACAGAACATTACTCATCAGACTGATAGTGCGATGATCGCTACACTGTTTAGCATTTATTTTTTTCGGTATCATTACAAATGTTGACATTAGCCAGTCTGTTGGTATATGTCCTGTTGCCTTATATTTTATTAAAGAGTATCGTTTACAAAAGCGATAACTTATTGTGTCTTATAATATAGTATACCATCTGTTTCTACACCACTTTATCGTAGGATAGCTTCTAGGATACGGTTAAGTTGTAGGCAGTGGATCTCCTTGTCTTAATTCCTTCCTTACTGTGAAAGTATCTGATAACCTTCTTTTCAGGATCACTTTATTTAATGTTTCTTTTAAGGTCATTTTCACTAACTTAATAAGTTTTGTATGTATTTTTAACATTTTCATCGCTTCGTATAGTTTTTCCCTATCAATTGAGTCGTATGCCTGCTTAAAGTCTATAAACAGTCTAGTCGCTACTCCATGAAATGGTCCGTATTGCTGCCTGCCCTTCGGAAACTTCTAACATTCGTGATGGTATTGGCGTGAATATTTCCAATTAAAACGTAATCTATTTGATTGGAAATGTTACCATCCGGGGAGATCCATGTTGTTTTACAGATATCTGTTCTGTCAAAATGTGTCATGATTTTCAAAGTTTGTTCTATTGCAAAATTTATTAACAGCATGCCGTTTTCATCTGATGTTTCGTGTTTACTTTTCCTTCCCGTGATATTTTTGTAGATGTTTTCTCTTCCGACATTTGCTTTTAAGTCGGAAGACTTCGGTAGGTCGTTTAAAAAGTCTACTAATTGTTGGTAAAAATCCATTTTCATATCGGTGTCTTTATCTTCAATCAAAAAGTTGCTACGTTAAAATGGAACTGGGTAAACTCACGTAGTGAGAATTGAAGATAACCATTCTCTAGAGGGGAACCAAAGACAGACTTCAAACCAGACTAATGACATCAAAATCATAACTGGTCACGAATGGATACAAAGAACAGAAACGAATGGACATACTTAAAAGAGGTTTATATCCGACAATTTCGTCTTTTAACAATTTTCAACATTTGTCTATTCATTATATTTAAAAGATTTCGATGAAAATGCGTTGCTTTCATATTATGAGCATCCTATGTAATATCCACATCTCAATTGGCTCTAACCGCCTCGCAATACGGGATCTTAACGTTTGGAGTTGGAGAAAGAATTTACGCATTACCATGCAAGTCCATTTTTATTTCTAAATATTGCGTTTAGTTTTTCTTGAGTTTATGATCAATATGGCAATTCTACTGTAGACACTGACAACCGATTCATTTTCACATGTTGCTCAAACAGGAAATTTTGTGACTTCCTACACTTTTTCTTCCTATACTCTTATTATCCTGCACCAATGCAGGATAAAATCGTGGACCGAAATATGTCCCAGAAACTCGATCATATATGTTTTTTACTATTCTCTCTAGTATGTGTTGTTTAAAACTCACTCTTAAAATCCGTCTATACATTTCAAAATATTCAAGTTTTCTTAATACTGCTATTTGTCTTCTTTCTGTGACGTTCATTTGTTCAAACATTGACTATCTCCATGAAAAAGTCATTAAAGCTCTATTGATCGTTTGCTGCACGTAAAAGTTGCTGTACACCCAACATGGTCCATCCTCTTACATTCGGTAACAATGGGAACCTAACTGCTATCAATGATTTCTAAATACTGCGTTAAAACTAAACACTCTTGAAATATATTTGCTTTGTTTTAAAATGGTAAGATAGATGTCTGGCAAAATGTGCTTGGAACAAAACAATTCATAGAGTGAAATAGGTAATTACAATACATGAGTCAAAAATCGGTTTTATGTAAATAGCAAACTACATACATATTTTGTTATGACTATGTGATACTCTAAAGTTTATTTAACAGTTTTATCAACAAATGAAGAATAGATTTTGCGATGATATATAAGTAGGCTTAAGGTTCAGTTGTGTGAAGTGTAGCAATAAATAATATTTTTAATTTAATAAATTTTAACATTAAATTGCACCTAGTTTTATTTAATACTAGCGGACCCGACAGACTTCGTTCTGTCAAATCTGGAGATGTGGCAGTTTAATTCTCCTAAACAGAACCGTCACCATGATGATAGAGCGGTGGGTGAGGGTCAGCTCGGGTGACCTAAGTATCTTCGCCTCGACGAACTTTGGCCACCCTTTTGGACCCACTAAAAACCCCGACTGAGATGTCTGCCAGAGGGCTTCAAATTAAGAAAGGAACTTAAGATTCAAACCTTAGGGACAGCTAGAATTAACAGAGTAGCAAACTGCCAAATGCCTACACCAAAAGAGTTAAAAAAAACATGGTATAGAAAACTGCTGTTATAGATGGAGTAGAAATCTCTTGTGTTTGTTGGTACGACAACCATGCTCTCAACATACGTAGCTAGTTCTCCTATTACTTCCAGAGAGCGCTACTTTCGAGAAGCCAAAGAACATCGTGAAATTCCTTGTCCTAAATCAATAGATGTTTATCAACAAGCATATGGGAGGAGTTGATCTATTGGATTCCATGCTAGGGTTCTATAGGATTTAGTTACGTTCAAAAAATGGTACAAGAAAATATTTTTTCACCTGTTGGACATGTGCATTGCGAATGCATGGATCCTGTTGCGCCATAAGAGTGTAAATTATATGCCATTATTTGACTTCAACCAATATATTGCAGAAAATTTATGCAAGGTGGGCAAGAATAGTTTGCCAAAGAAAAGGGGTCGACCATTATCAAATGTTAATTTACCAAGCAGTTCCATAACTGAAGCAGAAACTCCCAAATCCAAAAAGCGGCTTACTTTGCGTCAAGATTATCCAAGCAATGAAGTTCGTATAGACGTCATTGGCCACTTTCCCCAGTGGAACGATACAACATTGTTGTGCTATAATGACTGTAAATTTATATCTTTTGTTAGATGTACTAAATGTAACGTATCTTTATGTTTAAACAGAGATAGAAATTGTTTCGTAGAATTTCACTCCTAAAAACAATAACTAGTTCAAGTGCATAAGAAGCCATATTTTGACCTGTTTCTCTTAGAGAGGATGATAATTGTCGAATAAAGTACGCAATCCATCCAGTTTTATTTAAACTTTGTTTTTTATTACACATTTAATCAAAAAAAAAAAAAAAACTCGGTTAATACAATAAAACAGTAAAAAGTCTCTAGGCAGTTTCTGTAGCGTTAATTCTCAAAACTACTGGTACACTTGTACAAGGCAAAATAGCAAGCTCGGTAACCACTGCTGTAACCAAATCAGGAGGTGTCACGTCATATAACAAACTCAAAGGCGTTAATTTCGGTATGTCTTTCCACTTGGAAAGGGATGTTGGCGTGTCATTAAGGTGGGTCACACTTAGTGTATCTGGATCCCCTACAAAGAGAAACTTAATCAATATTAGTAAGAAAAAATTAAATTTTGTACATTTATATATATATATATATATATATATATATATATATATATATATAATATATAACTTGCATCTTCTTCTTCTTACGGTGCCTTATCCTTAAGGACGTTGGCCATTACATTTGACAATTTAATCTTATTTGTAGCAGCCCTGAATAGTTATATGGAGGTCATGTTCGTCCATTGCCGTAGGTTTTTAAGCCAAGAGTTACGTCTTCTTCCTGGTCCTCTTTTGCTAGTCACTTTGCCTTCGATTATAAGTTGGAGCAGTTCATACTTTTGATTTCTTATGATGTGACCAAAATATTGTGTTTTCCGTTCTTTTATTATAAGCATAAGCTCTCTTTCCTTATTCATCCTCCGCAAGACTTCCGCATTTGTCGTATGGCTCATGTAGGATATTCTGAGCATTTTACGGTAACACCAGAGTTTGAATGCTTGGATTATTTTTTGTGTTACTTCTGTCATTGTCCAGGCTTCAACACCATAGAGCAAGGTGGAGAAAACATAGCACTTAAGTATTCTAGTTCTCAATGAGATGCCCGCGGTTGCATAGAACTTTTTGCATTTTGTAAAACATTGTATGTGCCTTTTCCAGGCGTATTCTTATCTCTAGTGAGTGGTCCCAAGTTTCATCAAGATTACTTCCAAGGTATGTTGTTCTTGTTACTCTTTCCAGATCTGTTCCGTCGACATTGACCTTCACCCTTCTGTTTTGGTGCTTACTGATGACCATCGTTTTTGTCTTCTTTGTATTCAATTTCATTCCAAATTCTCTACAGGCTTTCGTTACTCGGTCTTAAGCGATGCAGGGCTTCAGCATTATCTGTCAGTATGACAGTGTCATCAGCATATCGCAGGTTATTTATACATTGCCCGTTTATAATTATACCATCCGAGGTGCCTTCCAAAGCTTTCTGAAACATCTTCAGTAAAGGTGTAAACATTCGAGTAAACATTGAACAGCAAAGGTGATAGGACACATCCCTGTCTTACTCCCTTCTCGATATTGATTTTTCCAGATGTTTCGCTTTTTATTCTGATTTTAGCCTTTTGTTCTTGGTAGAGGTTTGAAATGATCCTTAAGTCTTTATCGTCGATATTACATGACCTTAAAATATCTATTAGTTTATCATGTTTCACCAGTCAAACGCCTTCTAAAGTCTATAAAACACAAGTATACATCAGAATCGACATCTCTACATCTTTCAACTAGCACACGTATTGAAAAAAGTGCTTCTCTTATTCCGAACCCATTCTTAAAACCAAACTGAGTTTGACCAGTGTGTTCGTCTAGTTTATTGTATACTCTATTGTGTATTACTCGTAGGAAAAGCTTCAATATATGATTCATCAGGCTAATAATCCTATGGTCTTCACATTTCTTGGAGTTTCTCTTCTTTGGTAGTGGTATAAACACCGATGTCAGCCAATCATTTGGTATTATGCCTGTTCCGTATATTTTGTTAAATATATCTAACATAACTTGCATACAATAGGTGCATTCAGAGATCCAATCGGTCATGTATGTTAATAAAATAAATCAGCTACCTCACTGATTTATTGAAAACGTTTCGCCTTATACTTTTTAAAGCATTCCCAGTTCAAATACAAAAATAATTGGTGTAAGTTTACAAGCAAAAACAATAGTTTATTACTACTTACAAACAATTTTTATATGTTTTTTTGTTGTTAAATCAGCTGCAGGGTTATTCCAAATTAGAACAAAAGACTTGACGAAAAATAAGACTAAAAACGAGCACTACTGTTCATTACTTTGGTTAGGTTAAATTTTACAGAAGGGTACATTAATCAAAGAATCATATATACACATAATATTAAGATGAGATAATCATTAAGTTTACTCACCTAGTTCATTATATACAAAAGAGTCAGTCTGAACTCTTTCACTAAACTTATAAGTCTCACAACAAACTAGTACAGGTTTGTTATACTCTCGAGCGACCAATGCAACTTGAGCTGTTCCTATTCGGGACATTACATAGCCGTTTGTCAAGAGAGCGTGTGCCCCTAATACCACTTTTGTCACAGAGTTCATTACATAACTAAGAGCGTTTATCAGGATATAACTACAACTAACACCAGCAACTACAAGTCTTCGTAGTAGTTCCCTTCCTTCCAAAAGAGGTCTCCCATCGACTACGATTACTTTGAAGTTTTTGCCATCGGCATGGGCTTCTAGGAGAATTTTTGTTATAAGAGATGAGCTGAAAATAAAATTAAGAGTTTTAAAAGTTTATTATAGAAAAAAAAACTAACTAAACAGTTATTAAAAACCTGTCCTGATTTTTTAATATTAAAGGCTTGCTATATTTTTGATTTTGTGTGACCCTCATTCAACCATTATTCTCATCCTCATCATATTATTCATTGTTTGGTTACTTTTAGATACAATATCTCTGAAATAGAACCTTGAACTCTAAATTATGTATGTGATGTAACACTCAACAAAGTTTTAGATCTGTTTTCAACAAATGTAATTTTGAAGTTTGAATCATGAGAGATAAAATAGGGTTAAATTATCATTTTTATCAGATCAACAGTCATCTGAGGTGTCACAGTCGTTAAATATCTCAATTGACTTTTATTAGTAATAAGGCATTTACTCAATACACTACAACAAAAACAAAAAGGCTTTAAAAAGTCATAAGTGAGTAAAAATAAGAAAAGGAGAAAAAATAATGACTCTCTAAAATAAAACTTCAAAATAAATGTTAGTGGTGCCTGTTACCAATACTCACCATCCAAATGTTAAAATTACATCTCCATTGCTGATTTTCTTACTAACTTTCATGCTTATAGCGTCTCCTGCCTTATTAATATCATCATGGATGTATGTATCAATAATATCTTGTAATATATTTTTCTTTTCAGTATCTTTTATATTAGTATCGATATGGGTCAACTGCAATTTAAAATGTCTAAGGGCATTTGTCATCGAAACAGCTAAAGGTCTACAAGAATGCAAATATTGTGTACAGGTCTGTAACACAGTTTCTAAATATCTACAAAATTCTTGTTTTGGTGGGGAATTGAGATCTTGCACTAGATATTTCAGGGCTACCAAAAGAGCTAAACATCTCGCATTTGATCCTAAGATAATTTTTTTATTGTATTGAACTCCTAAAAATCAAAAATAATAATGTATTAAAACAAGTATCGTTACACTTCTTAGGTTAATGATGGAAAAAAGTCAAATTTCATATGATCTTATGCCTAAGGTCTAGTTTTAGCAATTTCAGTCAAACGCAAGTGCCAATAACAAGACTTAACAACCACTTACACAGCAGGGACCGACGGCTTTATATGCCTTCCGAAGCATGGTGACATGTATCATTTTTAGAAATAAAAATATCTTTGTCAGTACCGAGAATCGAAATCAAGCATTGTGGCTTGATATGCCAGTATCTTAGCTAAATAAATAGACATACAAAATCATAGGATACTAGGATACAAGAGAAATTCCAAAAGATTGGAAGGACGCAATTATTTTTCCATTACAAAACAAATGAGACAAAACAGAATGCAGGTACTATATAGAAGTAGCACTGCTGAATACTGTATATAAAATACTAGCAAGATTCATTAAATATAAACTTAAAAAAGAAGCTGAAAAGATAATAAATTAATAGCAATGCGGGTTTAGATGAAAAAACACTATTCATCAACTTCAGGCAAGCATATGATATAAAAAAGAGAAAGAAATTACAGGAGTCGCTAGAGAAATTTTGAATTAGCAGAAAGTTCAGCAATATGTTACATATTATATACAGAGAAGTTAAAATAAATAACCAAAAATTTGACAAATTTTTAGTAAACAATAAGTAAGATCATTCATCATTACTCTTCAACTAATGCCTAGAAAAAGTAATGTGAGACATGAAAACCAATAGGGAAGGACTCCTGTATCAAAGAAACCACCAAGGTTTGCCATTTGCAGATGATATGGTTGTACTGGCAAGAGGAAAAGAAGAACTACAGGAGGCAATACAGAGGCTAGTCAAAGCAGCAAGGAAATGGGATGGTACATAAATGAATCCAAAAGTAAAGCAAAAAGAGTAAAGTTTAAAGTAGAAGTCGAAGAATGGAGAAAAGCATATGAATGTGAAATAGTAGAAATATTTATGTATCTGAGAGCAGTAATCACACCTAAACCAAATGGTGGCCACAAAAAAAAATAAATAGCAGGAAAGGATAACAACAATAAAATCAATAAGTAATGCAGTAATTGAAAATAAATGAGCATATCACAAGTACTTGTCAAATAAGACCAGCAAAAACAAAAAATATATATAGGGAAGCTCAGAAGAAAAAATTATTTCAAAATCATCAGTATATCACCATTTTAATAAAAAAAAATATTACCTAGCCTAATAAACACAGGATGAATATTAGGATGTACAGCTATAGTATGTGTTTCTAATTTTAATAGGTCTTCATTATATAAATGTTGTACAAGCTGTACTTTATGAGAATCAGTAAACTTTTTAACTTCTTTCTTAGCAACTTGTTTCTTTTCTGATTGTTGCTTATTATTTACTACTTTTTTATTGTTTGTATTTTCTTTTTCTTTTATTTCGGATGGAGATTTTGATACTTGTTCAGGTTTTTGTTTTTTCTCAGCATCTTTTTGTTGCCTCTGAGCTTCTTGTAGTTCCCTTCTTTTAGCCTTTAATTCCGCCTTACTTAACTGTTCATTTTCTTTATTATCTAAAAATTATAAAGAAATATAGAAAAAAATTCGTTGTAGAAAATAGAAAAAAAGAAAAAAATGTAGAATCATAAAAAGGTAAGATCTGAAAGAATTTAAATCAATAAGTTACAAAAACTATTTAATAAATATATAATCCATTTATTAATTTGTTAAGTTGGTATAACCTGAAAAGACATATGGTGCATTACTCTTAATTATAAACTGCATACTGTTACAGAGTTTTAATGTTGTAGAGATATAAAAGGTTATTACCCTACAAAAAGCATCTTGTTTTGATTTGATACTAGAGAAATTACTAAAGAATTTGCTAGATCTAAGATTGTATTTTTAAGACACACATGATTAGAATATAACTGATAAGAAAAAAAAAAGATCAAGAAAAAAGGCAATGGAGAGATAATGTATATAGGATTGTGGATGTGCAAAGACAAAATATCATAGTGGAGCAGACCTAGAGGCCTACGATCTAGCATGAAACCTGTTTAGATATATGTTGACTCATTTAAGAATAGCACAAATATAAGATAGTTTATATTTAAACAAAAAACAATTTAACACTTTCAATGCAGAACTTTAAGAACATTCTCCTGGGCAGAATGAACTTTATCAGAAGAAAAATGTCATATGTTGGCTTCGGCAGCGAAAGTGTTAACATATAACTGAAAATGGGTATGTTAAGCTGTAACAAAGACAAAGTGATACATTAAGACATGAAGGCCTCACATAGAAATTAATAGAATTTTTATCTTTTAAAAATTAGAAGAAAATATTGGAATTTAATATCTTTAATATACTTTTCAAACTACAGTCATGTTTTTTAGATTTAAATATGATTAACATCAATCAAGGTATGCCTTTACAATATTGGCTATGTGTGGATAATAATTGAAGAGCATAAAAATTAAGTCTATACCAATGACAGTGCATGTAATAAATCTAGTTACCTAAACATCTGACAATTTATATTAAGCTGTAACTTAGTACTCAATTACTACATACAATTGAGCATTCGTATTAAAAATACACAATCTTACACACGTCAAATATATACAATATCTCAATTATAATTATGTTGTAAATATTCATGAATTGTAGTTTGTTATTTTGTAATTGTTTATTTTCGAATTCCTTTTCAGGCAAGTTTCTGATATGCTCAGGCAGCTGATTTTTGTGACTTTTATAAAGATCGATATTCCTCTTCATGAATTCAAGGATTTCTAGAATGTACTGTGCTGGTACAGTAAGAATTCCCACTCTTTCATAAGCCTGATAGTAGGCCTCTGTAACTTTCAAACCAGCAAGGACCCCCACTGTCTTCGACCATTCGACAGACAGTGTCCCTTGGGACAGACCTTCGACAAGCATGAGAAATGAGATATGAGAAATGTAAATGGAATATGGAGTGATATGTAGTTTCAGTAACACGCATTTTGGAAGGTTTCTCATAATAAAGAATCTTAAACTTTTATTAAGTTTTACAAGTTATTAATATGTGGGCCTCACTGTAATTTTGGGTTCAAAAGAACTCCTAAAAACCCAATCTCTTTGACTCCATTAATCATATCATCCACATCTCTCATTTTGAAAATCACTTGTTTAGTTTTATTGTTGTTCAGAACCATCCTATTTGCAGTAAACCATTGCTCAGTTCTCTGCTGTGCGACCATAGAATCCTCCAGCACATCCTCAATATTATCATCTGCAAAGGCCATTGTAGTGTCATCTGCACAGTGTATACTTAGCCTTACATTCCATGTTCGGAAGATCATTTATATAAATCAAAAATAAAATAGGGCTCAGTATTAAATCCTGGGGTATTCCAATATTTAATACACTATCTGCTGACAACATCTCACCATCACAATTTGCACCCTATGTTACTCTCAAAATAACAGTTACATTTTTCTAATTTCTGCTTAGCTGGAGGATTTCTGCATAGCATGGCAGAGTTTAGAAAAGTGTAATGAATTTAGAAATGCTGCAGACAGTAAAATATTCCAGCATCATTAATAATTTATTTTACAATGAATATTAAAAAATATCTGTCCCATTATGTTGAAGAATTGAAAAGGTTTATCATGAATATGTTGTATCTTATATTAATAATATTTATCAAATAAAGAATTACAATAAAAACGACAAATACTTCACATTATTAAATGTATTCAATGGTTTAAAATACACCTCTAGAATATTAAATATAATAAAACCATCTGATCTTATAGAAATATAGAACATATTTTGACATTAGAAAATACCCCAGGTGTTTGTTTGGACAAACCATATGTTATGTACATAGTAAAACAACTTTTACCTTTAGCTTTCCCTTCTTCCAGTTTTTTAGCCCATTCAAGTCTTCGCTGTTCTTTTTCTGAAAGTGTTTTAGAAGCTACATTGTGTTCATTTGATTGATGTTCTTTTTTATTTACACCAACACTGTCGACTTTTGATTTATTGTTCGGTTGGGAAGTACTATTACATTTAGGTAAATTATGGCTTTGTGTTGCTTCACCAGATTCTTGAGTCTGTCTGGCACCTACTTTTTGTGCTCTTCTTTCCTTTTTTGTTAAACCATCTGCACCAAGTTTTTCCTCTACGAAATAAAATTAAAATTAAAAAATATATATAAATTATTTTTACTTACTTTTATTTTCCTTCTGTGTCTTATCCATGGCTTATTTTATTATTTGAATGATGAAAAACTTTCCAAACATATGAAATTTTTAAAGTTGATCTAATACCTAACCTCCAAAAAATACTCTTCTTCTTCTTATTCTTATTATCTTGAGTTAGGTCGTTCTATAGGTAGGATGTGAAGTTAGCCTCATTACTAACAACATTTAGCGCAACATTAGCCCCCTTATTTCGATGGAGATTAATGCATTTGTGAAAGTAATCTCAATTTTGAAAGTATTCAAACATTACATTCTAAAATCTTACAAATAGAAAAATTAACAAAATTAATCATATTTGCCTAAAACATAGAGAAGAAACTCTATAGATTTTAGTCAGCTTTTGTTTTCCTGGCATGTTTGAATATGGATGTGCTTTTCACAACACTTTAAATTCAGTCGAATTTACCGACTCGTAAAGTAATCGGACTCTTTGACTCCCCTTATTTCAATTTCCTATCTTCAATAAAGGTAGGAAGATTTTCCTGTAACGATTTACTATTCCAAATGCAAATTTTCTTTGTCTTAGTTATTCTTGAAGATCTAAATTATTTAAATAATTATCAAAGTATAAACGGTGTCCTTTATTTTGAACAAGTCCTCACATACATTTCCTCTAAGCACTAGCAACCCCAGTGGGATCCTACGTTGCCATGTGATCAATTCCTTTTATAAATTATATGTAGTTACATATTAAATATTTATTTCCAAGTTAATCTAACTACGTCTAAAAGGTTTCTACTCACATAGTGGCTTTAAACATGCAAATCGACAAATAGCACTGACGATGGAATAGTTATTCTGAAAACGTTCTATAATCTAGCCCGAGGCTATAAATTATATAAATTAATACATTATAGACCATTATTAATATACCTGTTATAAAAGGAATTTTTTTTACATAAATTGTTGTGAGTTAAATAAATGACCAAAATATAAAATGATTTATGTTTTGATACACACACAAGAAAACAGTTTCTTCGGTTTTCCGTTTATAAGAAGAAGGGAATGAATAATGTAAACATCGACGTACGACCTAATTTTACACCAAATTTTACGCATAATTTACATTTGACGAAGGCGATTAACACAGATGTAAATTAATTACAGTAGACTTATGTTTTGATTAGGTCACACCGGGACAGCGCGTACGCAGTCCCGACTACCAAAAATTACACGCCCGAGTTATCCGCATTAGGGATAATCGCAGGATTCAGCCCAATCGTAGTGCAATGAATGGGCCTCGTCCTGGGGGAACCGCCTTTATGATCACGGTAGCCCCTACGCCAGGTAAGTATGCCAAACAAAATATCACTTTTCATCCTTTAAAACGGAGTTACGACTGTCATAATAAACTGTAACTAGCTCCACCTAGGGTAAAAATTAAAAACTAAATATAATCGTTTTTTTATATATATTGAACCAAATGGGTGTTTATCATGTCATTGGACAAGTAAGCAGTAAAAAAAAGCTGAGATTACTGTAAATTGTTGAGCATTGAGCACAATATATACTTTCAATACGTTATTTAATATAAAAGTTGTACCATTTTCACATATAGATGTCGGTACTCACAGCAATATTATCATGAATAATTTGGACATACCCAACTTTTTTCAAATTATACAAAATATTTAAACATGATTCAGTTTCATAAAATAGGGAAGGAACTGTATCAAAGTCTTCTGACAGACGAGTCTCTATAAACTCGTTTTGAATGAGCTGCATATTGCATAAATAGAAAAAAAAATTATTTCATAAAATGTTGCATACACATATTATATGCAGACCACGCAGACATTCAATAGCATTTATAGGATAACTAGTTTCAATCGAAAAAAATAATTTTATTTAAACTTTTACAAAGTATCAATTCAAAAAATAATTAAACCAGGTATTCTTTGGCATATAATAAGATAGTGCTAAAAGTTAGATAATGTCACTATGTCACAATAGTAAAAATATACGAGTGTATTTGTCATCTACTGGATAAAAAAAAAAAATTATTCACTGTATATTTATTTATTTTCTTCACTTAAAAATTGCATACTTAATACAACTGAGTGGGTGGATACCTTTTTCAGAATATTGACAGAGAACTACGAACGCAGTACTTCGTAGTTCTCTGATATTGACATTGACCATTGACTTTCATATAAACGGAAGTGTTGGCTGTTACAATATTCACATTCTTGGAATTAATAAATGAAATTTCTATTTAGAGAATTAATCATCACATCATAAATGAAGTTTACCTCTATCGTAAAAAATTATATAGACTATAGACTAATTGAATAGCCTATTTATTCCGTAAAATATAGTTATAAATTATAATATCTGTAATAATGTATCCAGTAAGTACAATATTGTTTTTAAAAGTCATAATTTATCTGTGTAATAACATTTAATTGCCATCAAGCAATAGAATCTAACAATTTCAAATATAGTATACTATAATAATCTATTTGTTCTTGTACTATTATGTGCCTGCTTTAAATTAATTATGTTGAGTGTAAAAAGGACATAACATAATGGTTAATTACATGGAATTTTATAGGAAGTAGTAGACTGAAGAGTCAATTAAGTTAGCATTAAATTGTTCAAAAGACACAATTTTTAGGTAATATTTTATATTAATAAAATCGTATTTTAGTAGTTTTAATTTAAATTAATTGGATGTTCTGTACTATAACTACCAAAACTTTTAGTGTTGTATATTACAAAATATCTACACAGTACAGACAAAACTAAGCTTTTATAATTAATAGAGCATGGTTTCTAAATCAATACAGTTAATGACACATTTCATGTGACTCAGATCTGAATTGAGGCATATCCATGTTTCGAATATGCTTCATATATTAAGAACTATTGAATAGTCAATCTCCATAACAAAGTAAGGAAGGCAATACAAATACTTCATCCTTTGTGTGTGTTTGTTTTAGGTTCCCTACTCACGTATGTGTTACAGTTTTCTTCTTTTCCTCCTTGTAATTTTTGCTCTGTGTTCTTCTTCTCATAGCACTACAACCCGGGGTGAGTCTTGTCTGACTGCACAACTTGCTTCCATCTTGAATGGTTGTCCATAATAGTTGGGTCAGTGGGTAGCCCCAATGTTCTTAGATCTGACCATATATCGTCTCCCCATCGCATTCATGGATGTCTTAAGAGCGTTCTTCCCGTGGGGGTTTCCTCCCATATTAACTTGTTAAGGCGGTTATTAGAGAGCCTATGGACATGGCCAGGCCATCTTAGATGTTGGGATTTAATCTCTTGCACTATGTTGCTCACTCTATACATCTGCTTGACCTCAATGAGAATCTGTGAGAATGGTATTTGGAAAAGGCAATATAATTTTAAGCTGTATGAGAAATATTAAGAAATAATAAATGGTAGTGATACAATTTATTTATCTTTAATGGCAGCAAAATGGACTTTAGAAGGTTGAGAAATATCACACTCTATTATATAATATAAAGGTAGTGGAAACATCAAGCCTGGTGGAGAGGGTATATTTAATACCAAACTTTCCACATTTAAGAGAGGCTTAAGTTTAACACCTAATTGCTTCAAAATATTTATTAAGGACCACTGAAGCAATAAAACACTTATTTTTCCTTCGATTTATTTATAGTGAACTTATAGGGCTGATTCAATATTGATAATTATCGCAATTCTGATAATACTAAAAAGAATTATACAAATATCATTTGCTTTACAGTGCTAGGAGGCAGCAACAAAGATAAAGAGTATTGAGAGAAACAAAACTGTTTACGGTTTAACACAAAACACCAGGTTTACAAGCGCACCTTTCACTTAGGCATCACACACTTTTCAGGGTCGACAACACACCCCAGCCCGTCTTTACTTGTCGAGAGGCAAATTCGCACTCCTAAGTCTATAACGGGGGTGAAGAGAGATTATGAAGGAGAGGGTCGCACACACACATCAACACGAGGGCTGACGAACTGGGCACAAAAGTTGATAAAATAACTAAATACAATTACAATATTATAAACAGGTTGTTTTTACAACAAAGCCTCTGGATAATCACCAAGATGTGTTATCCTAATAATTAAATTCATTCCCTCTAATGAACTCATTATGGATAGAAACAAAAAGTTATTCAACTTATTTGCCTTAAAAATCAACAATGCTTGGATATTAGAACCATATATCCTCAGGATACCAGATAATTTTATAAGACGAAAACAGTATCCAGTTTTGTCCCTAACAGCCAAGAATAACATTAACCTTATAATACCCAGTGCTTGTTATTATTCATGTTTTTTATTATTATAATTGATATTACTTATATATCTATAAAAAAGTTACTCATTTGTAAATTGTAGAAAGACTTTGGTTGATAACTTTTTGGCAGTATTTCTCTCTCTCCCTCTTATACTGTGTAATTGGTATTTTTTAGTGATTTTTGATTTTCTTTTCAGAATCCAGCATATGGAGCTTACAATCCAGGAGGAAGTTATGGTGGTCAACCTCAAGGAGGAAATTATGGTCAACCTCAAGGAGGAAATTATGGTCAACCTCAAGGAGGAAATTATGGTCAGCACCAAGGAGGAGGTTTTGGTCAACCACAAGGTTTTGGCCAACCTCAAGGAGGTCAACCCCAAGGAGGTGGCTTTGCTGCACCAGGTGGCTATGGTCAGCCCAATCAAATAAACCCTGATGTCCAGTCATGGTTTCAAGCTGTAGATAAGGATCGTTCAGGGCAAATCAGTTGGGAAGAACTTCAAGCTGCCTTAATCAATGGACAAGGTGAAAATTTCTCCCCGACAGCTTGCAAATTAATGATATCCATGTTTGATATTGATCACAGTGGAACTATTGGGATAAATGAGTTTCAGTTGCTTTATAACTACATTAACCAATGGCTAGCAGTTTTTAAAAACTATGATAGAGATGGTTCAGGCAGTATTGATCAGACAGAACTTACACAAGCGTTTCAACAAATGGGCTTTAGATTTTCTCCAGAGTTTGTCAAATTTTTGTTAGCGAAAAGTGATCTTAAAACCCATAGCAGGATGTCTGTTGATCAGTTTATTGTAGTATGTATTCAGATTCAACAATTCACTGAAGCTTTTAAAAAGAAAGACCGCGAACTGAAGGGGTTATAACACTAGGTTTTGAAGAGTTTTTGGGTATTGCTTTGAGTTGTTCTGTATAATTACCATATGTATCTCAAAAAGAAGGAAAGATCAGTTAAAATTTAGTAAAATTATTTCCAGTTTATATACATTTATTTAAGTGTTGTAGAAATATTCATATATTTTATACTATTAAAATTTCTAATAATTCAAATTTTTTATAATTTATTTTTTATGTATGTTTGTCTTAGTAGTCCATCTAAATAAAAATTGGTCCTCAGATCCATTAAATTATAGTGTAGATGTGGCTAATACCTGTTGACAATTTGCGATGATAGATAGATTTTTTTATAATATAATATTGGTGCATAGAAAAACATTATTCTTTTTCACACTTTTGTCTTATTCTACTACTGCCTTTCTGTTTTGAATGTTGGGTAAATTTTGTTGCAAATATTTGTGAAGTTCATTGTTTTCTCCTAAACCACTTTCACAACAGACTGTAATATTTATATCATTATATCACTCGGGTTTTTAAAATTTTACAGTGGTAATAGTTTTTCAGTATTCATAAGGAGAAAATGTTGAAGACTGTGGGGAAAAGCAGTATTCTTTAATGTACAGCAAAACAGATTTAACTGCAATGATGAAGATTTGACATAACCAGACATGACAGACGTTGGTTGGTGCAGTATTGTCTAATCGAATATTATTTTAGAGTTATTGAACTGTAATATTAGTACTCCATAAGTACCGTAATGAGTTTATAATTATATTTATTATCAGAGCACTAATATCAAAGTTAAAATGTTTGATATAATTGATAAAATATGTTATTTGCTGAAGTTATTAGTCATATTCATTAAAATTAACTGAATGAATGGAAGTCTATTATATTAGAAAGGTAAATTTGTTTCATACTGAGAATTGCAATATTTAGTTAAAATAAATTGTTTCCAATAGTTGTGGAAGTAAGCTTATAAAAATAGATTTACCTACCTGTTTTTATTTTTAAATATCATCAAGTTCACTATTTTGGCTGTCGGAATTTAATTGTAAATTAATAACAATTCGATTGGATTAATAACAATTCGATCTACGATTACATCAATTAGTGACTCCTTTGATATCAATTCACGTTCAGTTGCGATGACTTTGTCTGTTATTTTTTCCACACCTCCACAGGAAAGGTTTTAAAAAATTCGTGACAACTGCTGGATTGACGTAAATGTAAAGTTTACATTTCTGGCTCCCATATATGATTTCAAAGCTGCCCAAACCATTTCAATAGGATTCAAATCTGGATGGTATGGTGGGAGTCTAAATACATCATGTCATTGTGCTCATATGATTCTATTGATTGCATATTTTACATAACGAGGTTCATGCTTGTGTATTATGGTATGGCGCATTATTTAACACTATTATACTATTCTGAGGCAAGTTACACAAAAGATGTTCTATCAACCATTTTGTAAAATTTGCATAGTTCATGATAGTCTCCAGATTTTGACATAGACTTCCACCTCAAATAAGAATCAGGAATAAAACCTTGTTCATTTCCTGCCCTAACAATAATTAAACGTTTTTTGCAATATGGCTCGTTAGTAAATAAGTTTCGTCAGTAAATACTATAAATTTATTTGCATCTCTTGCTTCCTTGATTTTCCTCAGATATTGCATCCTTAAATCTCTAATTTCGTGTTTCTCTATCAACATTTTTCTGTGGTAGACTGTTTTTTTTTTCCAGCGAAACCAAAGTTTGTGGAAATCATCCTCATACTTTCTCTTTTCCTGCTTAATTCAATTCATTTACAAATTTTTGGTGAATTTTTTTAATTGTGGGAACTTGTTTATCGGTGAAGATGAAAATCATATATTTGGCTCCGTAATATACTTTGATCACGGATCTAGCTGTATTTTTGAGGACTTTTTTGTCGCTTATTAGATGTGGAATGGGAAATACAGATTTATCTCCAAAATAATAAAGTAATGGAAAATGCGATACATTTTTTTTTGGTTTTGCGTAATTATTTTATAATCCAACTTTGTTCAGAAAAATTGATAATTTCGAAAATGTGCTGTTTGGAAAATTCTTTAAGATATAAATTGCAATTTTTTTACATATAAAAGAGCAATTAAGCCTTCTTCAAAGCATCAGCTTTGAGTAATTTAAATAAGTCATTTAGATGAGGACTTTTTGTCATAGATATGATTCTTTTGAGTTATTCAGGATAAAAGAATTGTTTTATGTGGAAGTTGTTCTGTTCTACCCCTTCACAACACCACACTTCAGACCTCAGCAGATAAGCTCTCTGACAACACCAGATATTATTCTTTTTGCCCTGCTATACCCAGGTCTGAGTCACTCATTTCTGAATCTCTCTCCTGGACCATGTGTTTTTCCTTTTTGTGTCAATTTTCATTTTCACGACTTTGGACAGTGCCAATGCTATAATCCTCTAACAAATATATCGTTAATGACATCGCAGCTGTGAAATTCTAGTTATTAATAACGTCCCGGAGACATTTTTACAAAAATAGTAAATTTCGGCTCAGTATGTACAAATTTTTATACAGATTCAGCCTGGGCTATTTTCTTTTATTAACCTTAATTGTTTTGATATTGTTTTCATATTTCTTTTCTGTCAGTATTCGATTTCTCACTTTTTTTGTTACATTTATAGCTGGTTTGTGTTTTCTTATGATAAATATCTCATCTTTACTTTTTACAATGCTGAATAATTATTTTGCTTGTGTTTGGGATTTCCTATTTAATTTTTATCCAAGTTTTAAATTTTCTCTTGTGGGTACAGACAGTATGTAAAACAACAGATTGTAGTCGCTCCAGAAAAATATTAGATACTTGTTTAGGACAAATCTTGATCATAATATTAAACACCTTCTAGCTTTAAAGTGTAAATATTAGCAAGTTATATGAAACCACATAAAAAATAAAACATTTCAATACAGGTTGCTTTGGATATTCGTTTTTTAGTAAAATGTTGCTTTATTCCACAACACATATCATTTTATATCATAGTCTAAATGCACCCAAAGAAATAGTGTACTTTAATAATGGTTCTATTGTAATATATAAATCATAATAGTTCTACTAAATTTTATCTGAATATATTTTTATTTTTGTAATGATCTGCATTTACCATTTTAAAAATACCCCACGCCTGTATGAGATTTAATTACCAGTAAAATTTAAAGATGTGCATAAGGATCCTGATATACGAGCGATAGCAGCGCCACGTTACCGTTGGCCCACCTGGACAATGGTCCTACCATGGCGTAAATTATATTATATCGAGATTAAATAAAACGAGCGGTTCAAAGTTACATAATTATATTTATTTATAGTTTTACAGTTCGGTAATATCTTAACAACTGAACTAACTCATAACATCGTTACATATATATACCAAAAGTATTGTTCTAGAATCATCTGGTGTAGTTCCACCTCTAATTCGTTGTTTGACGGGTCGATCCTCTCATGCGCTTGAGACATCTGTGGAAAGTTCTCGATGCCCTTTCGAGATGGAACCGTTACATGGGCCATGTCGAACGCATGTTCGTAACAATATGAACGGTATTTGACAGATTTGACAATGTTATACTTAAGTCATACGTGCTGGTTTATAAATTTATAAAGAAACTTGTGATTTTACCCGTCAACATGCGAGGGGGATCCAATCAATTGCATCCACAAGCACTCCACTTAATTATTTCTGTCTTCCTCCTATTTAAGGCCAGGACGACAACAAAATAGTATTTTAATCTGTTGTACAACTTTCATAACAAATAAGTCACTTTTTAGAGTCGATGATCTTTTTGCGTAAAGTCGTCTTATGAAATCGACCTAGTAGCGTCGATAGGGTCGGTAAATATAAACCAGCGTAATTCTAGTTTGGCAATTTATTTGTTAAACTTTGAAAATTAGGGCAATTGTATCGAGCACAAGTTTAATCAAATCTTGCCCAAGTACTTTCGCTTAATATAGCATCTTCAGGGGCATTTCGTCAAATATGGGCTATCCAGCAAGCGTAGAATGTGATGAACATGAATGTTAACATAAAATTGTACAAACACTACACTAAAACAAGGACAAACAGTTTAAAATTAGTTAAAATATTTCTACGCTCTACATTCTTTGGCGGTAACAGGAGAGAGAATGAATATGAATGAGCATTCTGATTGTTTATTATTCTGTGTCTAACCTAACATGCTTGTTTACAAAAAATCTATTCGAAAAAAATGGCTGACGCCATTTTTTTATGGAAAGTCCTATTTGTCCGGTTAGGTCGCGCTAACGCAGCGCTGCTAACGCGACGATATTAGTGCTTGTATAACTGGGCTCTTAGACTTTAATTAATAGTACTATACCGCTTATCTTGTCAACATAAAAACTGGAAGTTTTAAGGGTGAATAACTCCACCGACAAACAATTTTGTTAAATCAATATCGCAGATATTTTCTATTTAAGGGGTAAAGCTACTATAGGACTCGAATATACAGATTTGGAATTTATTTTACGGAACATAGGCTTTTTAATACAATAACTCAGATTCACCAGTTATAAATTTCAATGTAACAATCCTGCGTTTGAAATTGTCCTCGGCTAATAACTCTGAAGTAGTTGAAACTTTAAAACAACGGTAACCGTTTCGTTTCAAATATTCCTGACAGTCCTATCATTCATGTCAACTTCTCCGGCAATAGTTTTTGAACAAGGATCACTAGTTTCAGCAATACTACAAACATCAATTTCCCTACTTTGCCGAACTTCGTTGATTATTTTCTCTCGTGGTAGATCCGTACATTTTCGACAGTTTTGAACACAACCAAACGATTCCAATTTTTTATATTAATATAAGTATATAGGCATAAGTAAATAAATTTATAATGTCAATAAAATTTGTACTTTTTCTTCGTTTGTATACATGGTTAGAAACACTACTTTAATTTCAGCTTATGGCGTTATAATGAGAATCAAGGTATTTGATTTGCTCGGCCGGTATGTATGTAGACAGTATATTCCTTGAGACTGTTGCCTTTCGGTAGATACCTTTGGCAAAAATCGGTAGATTTCGATATATCATAATATACACCCTTTTAAATTATAAACAATATTTGGAATATTAAATGTATTAAAGTATAAATTAACCAATTCAAATAATACCTAATAAACATAAACACAATTGT